TACCTTTCTTAAAAACATCCTGAAACACCTGTGGCAAAAAAGTGCTTATTGAATTAATTCTTTGTTCCAATATCTATAGGTGAAACAAAAGAATTCATCACAAGGGTTGATACAGAGCATCAAAGTTGTGGTTATTGAAGTTATACTTTTACTGTTGGCAACAATCCCTGGCTCAGTGCTCTTGAATTCTACCCTGGAAGCCACAGGTAATTTGTTAATTCTTTATTCTCACCTATGATTAATGTGGGTATTTGTTCTGACAGTGGGGCATTTTAACGTGTTCCTGCAGCAGATGTTGTGTCAGTGATGCTGCTTCATGGAGAACTGGAATTTCTTCTCTGGAGTAATTTTCTCTGCATTTTCCTTTATTCCCAGTAGAGCAAACTAATGCAGATGCACAGAGTATAAGAAAGTAAAGAAATGAAGTCACAGAAACAGCATGGTGTCATTAGTATAGATGAAGATGATCAGAGTTTTTCTAATTCTGGTTCTAGAGCCACCTTGGCTGCTCTTGTCTGAGCCATTTCTTTGTGCAGGGCTACTGGGTGAGGCAGCAACACCCTCTGATGATGCTGTGCTTTTGGTTTTGTGCCCTGCCCAAATGCAGAACATCCCCTCCTCTTCCAAACTCCTCTCCTACACAGAAAGCTTCTCCCTATTTTTGCTACCCTTATTTCCAGAGCATTTTGACAAATCCATGTTTTGGAAGCCTCAGGGATTCCAAGCTATACCTGGAATATACTGACCTGTGGGCATTGATTTGTTTCAGCTGCATCTCTGATTCTTTATCTGTTCTGTTTGTCCTGGTATTTTGTACTTGATTCCTCTTCCATTTGCTCTTTTCAGGATAATCCAATGCAAGGCTGGGAAGGAAAATGTGGGTTTCACTTAGTCAGAGCTAGTTAGAGCCCACTCATCACCTCTGTGGCTCAGCACCATGCCTTGTCAGTCCTCCAAAAAAGGAATTCTGCTTTGCCAACTATAAACAGCAATAGTTTTTAATGCATTAAAAAGTATCTCAACATGAACTTCAAATTCCTTATATCTAGGAAGCAAACAGAGATACCTTTCTTATTTCCTTCCTTTCCATTTCTCTAATTTTATTTTTCCCCATGAAAAACTCATGACTTTTCTTAGCCTGGTTGGGCTGAGCTTTGGATCTTGTTTTAAGGTCTTCAGTGTGGTTGATGTGGAAGAAAGGACATGGAACACAATGTGTTGTTTAGGTCTCAGGCCAAGCCAATTTATACTCTTTGAATACCCCATGCTAATATATCCTAATTTCCTTATATCTGATTAAATTTTAATGCTTCTCAGAAATATTTTTTATTACCCTGTGTAGTAGCTTTTAGCAGTAGCTAAAAGTCACCAGAGTACTTACTCATTTCTTGCTGTGAGATATGGATTAGGAGAATGGAAAAACAGGCTTAAAACTTAAAAGGAATAAAGAAAGTTTATTATCAGAACTACAAGAAAAAGAAACCAGAATAAAACCTCCAGAAATCTTTCCTTCCCCCCCCCAAAAAATTTTTTTCTTTCCCAACTGACAACATAGAGACAAAACTTGGGGTGCTAAAGCAATTTCCCACTTTTTTTCCTAAATGCCACACTCTGTAACATTTTAAACCCTTGTGACCTGTAAGTTTGGAGTGTACATTTAAAGCCAAACACTTCAAATGTTTTGGAACTTTTGGGATCTGTGCTGTTTGAAATCACACCAAATTAAAAATGCACAAATCAGTTCAAAATAAGAGTTGTTTAAAAAAAAAACACCACCACATTCTCTCTGGCACTGAAATTACAAAAGGTAGCTTTTCTGGAAGCAGTATTAGACGTGAGAGAATCTTGTGATTTATGATTAATGATGGACTAAACATAAAATAAAAACTTGAGACATTGTTAATATGTAATAGGCTGATACAGAGAAAAACCTGGTGGTTTCCTCTGAATAATGCAGCTGAACATTAGGGGGGGCTGAGCTCTCTGAAATCACAATCACACACTAAGGAACTGAAGAGAAAATTCAGTGGTAGGGCACTTCTTACACAAGTGTGGTTATATATAAGGCAGAATGGCAGCTGGAAATGTCACTGACCCACAGCTAATATTAAAATTACAACAATAATGTTAGTAATAACAATAAAAATATTGAAAATAAAGAAAATTACAACAACAACAATAACAGCAATAATAATAATCTTGAGTGACTGTAGAAGGCAGGAGGGTTTGAATGTCTGAAATCCATACTGTGACCATGCTTTGTGACAGTGCAGGTACATCCTGCTTCTAAGGCTGTTTCATTTATCAGCATTTCCTTATGGGAACAGGTTGGTTACAGAGCCCTGTTTATGTCATTCAAAGGTGATGAAACACATTTGATTTTTACCAATGATAGTTATATGAACTTACAGACATTTTTACACACCTGAGAAGTACAGTTCTCACCTAAAAACCCCATTTTCCCTCCACTCCTAATGCCCACAGACCAATGTCCATCCTCGCTGGCAGTACTGACACATTTTAGGAAGTTCCTGGACATGTAAGTTTCTTACTACAGCAGGATAAAAGAAGTTAATTATTATCTATTATCCACGATTATCCTCTTCCCCCAAATTGTGATTTCCAGAAGAAATTCCATCTCTGATTTATAAAATGACAAGAGAGAGTCTGGAAGTGTTTGGGGATGGCTGTCAGGAGGGAAAATTAGAAAATGGCATGCCTCAGAATGGGTTGATTATTTTTCAGCTGTCACTAGCATTTCTCCCCAACATTTGCTGCTTCTAATTCAGGTTGGCTGAGGGGCTTAGAAGCCCACAAGGATTTTATTTTTTCCCACATTGTATTCTTTGATTTAATAAAAGATACTGCCTTCACCAATTCAGCTGCACTCTGTATTTCTTTTAGCTTCATCCTTCTTTCTTTGTTTGTTTTGAGAAGTTAAACACAGGCTTGGTAAACACAAGCTTTTAACAACCTGTTTTTAAGCAGATGGAAATCAGTATCTAAAAAGATATTTTTTTTCAAAGTCCTGAGTCTTTGGTCACCTCAAAGGAATGACGAGTTGCAAGTGAACTAGATGTAATTTAATCTCGTTATTTCCTCATGTATCTTCACCTTCTAACTCTTGGTGAAACCTCAGCATCTTTCAAAAATAAATGTAAGAATTAAGTGATCACTTAAATCTTGAGTTGATAGGTTGGTGAGATGAGTCACAAGGAACTTAAAATATTTGAGAAGGGTCACCAGTTTCATTCTGGGAAGTCTCTTACCTGTAAGGCATGTGGCAAAACTTGTTCTGTGTTTACCAAAAAGCAACTTTTACTGTAAAGTACATGATAAGCTGAGTTAAAAGTTGGTTTGGTTTTGGGTCACTGTCAAGTTGAAAGAAGAGAAGCTGGGAATTGAGGCTGCCTAACAGAGGAGCTTATCTGAACCTATGTCCTGGTGACAGTTTCTAATACAATATCCAGCCTCTCTGCTGTATCTATTTCCTGAAAAAAAACAGAGTTTTTGTTTGTTTGTTTTTTTTTTTAATGCTATATGTCATTTGCTGTATGTTAGTAAAAATGGGTTTATGCTGCTTCATCTGAATTTGGTTCTCTTTTTATATTTTCATACATAATTTAAGTGTCACTAAAAAACAGTGGTGCTTGTAAGATGCTAAGAATTTGACTTACTAGACTTTGCAGCCAAGTTTCCATGGCTGTCATTTCATAGAAAACCCTGGTTAAGAAAGTAGGGAGTGGCATTTCCCACCCTGTCCTCCATAGTTTGCAAGCTCATTAAAGATTATTTGCACGGAGTAGGACCTGCAGAGGTCAGGGAAGGGGTTTAGGGTCAAAACCTACCCTGGTGCGTGGGGATGTACCACCAGAGTTCCCAGCTGAGCATGAATTAGAGACTGGGTTTGGTCTTATGGAAGTCCAAGAGAGAGAAGTCTGACAATGTTGACCTCCTAAGTTGAAGGAAATGTGATTTCAAATTATTTCTGCAAGCAGAAATAGCTTTAAGAATTCCAGTTAGAGCTGTAAACAAGTGATTGCTAATAAAAGATCTGACTGAGTCAGGGGTTTCTACATCAAACGAGGCACAAAGCTGAAATTGCTGCCTCACACCAGAGAACAATACCCTTAAGCTCATTTCAAGGAATATTTTTCTTTGTCTTACTTCCCTGACAGAATAAAACTGAATTAAACCAATTTTAGAAAACAGTGGCTGAAGCAAAATCTGGAATTTATGCAGTTATAGATGTGCCAAGCCTTGCAGGTCTAGAAAAAACTTGAATTAGGTAAATAATGATCTTCCTTCTTCAGGCCTTACTCTGCCCCATTCCACTCTGTCCCACCCTACTCAAGACAGAATTCCTCTCGCATAGTGTGAATGGAAAAAAAAATCTCACTGCAAATGATTTAATGAAGACTTTTACCAGTATAAACCTCAGGCAGGGTAGGGTATTAAAAATATGACAAAATGTAAATGTTCAAGTCATTGATGAGGCACACAGAGGAAATTTGACATCCAGCTCAAGTTGTGATCCGGATTTGGTGACCAGCAGGGACTGTCCATGGCAGCTGCCTAACCTGCTAAAGAAAATGGGGATAAACTCAGCTAAGAATGACAAATCTGGTCATCCAGTATTTTCCACCTGCTTCAAAGAAGTGAAATAATGGAGATTTACAACCACTCCAGTCTCTTTCCAGTATTGCAGAACCAATGACTGGCATCTGTTTGGTGCATTTCTAGCAATTTGCTCTTCTAATGCAATAAGCATGCAAGTTAGAACTGAATATTTAAACATTTTCTCCTAAATAATTAATAATACAGGAAAATATGGGGGGAAAAGAGGTGCATCTACAGATTAAGTTAAGACTTTTGGACCCAAGGCTCCTCAGTTCTGGATCTCAGTCATGTATTGCCCAAACCCAAGGCTGTTAAAGTATTTTATTTATTGAATACCCAGGACAAAAGGGTGTCCAGTTGCGTTGCACTGCTCTCTAAATTCTTCCTGATTTTGACTCACCTTTGGCTCAGACTCAGACCTTGCTCCATTAAGAAAAAGCAAGCACGCTTCAACGGAAAACGTTGGAATTTATTACAGAACAGGTCAGGTGCGAGGTTTTCGTTACATTGGCTGCGATCCCGACGTGCGTGAGGCACTGGCAGAGGCTGGGACGTAACACTTGCAGCCTCGCCCCTGTTTAAATGACCAAAGTGTTCCGTTCAAAATGTCACTCTCACGCAGGGGACGAGCACTGCAAGCAGGGGAAGCCTCGACATGGGCACCTGGAATTACCTCTGGCATTTCATCCTCTCTGTTTTGCTCTGTAAGTAAAAATCTCTTTGGTTATTGATTGTCGCTGTGTATTTAGAGGATGTCCTTGAGAAACATTCGAAATGATAATCAGGGAAGGGGGGCAGCTAAAAATGAATGTAAAATACAATAACATGTGATATTTACAGGGTTGTGGGGTTTTGGTCTTCTGTTTTTGTGGTTTTTTTTTTTTTTGTTTAGCTTGAATGCATTGGATTTCAGCAGATATTTTAATAGGGATATAAATCTGTAAGTAGGTAAAAGAATGAGAGCAAAGTGCTCAGAAATCTCATCCAAAAGACCAAACATAGTGTCTGACCAGATTTTACAATTTTTTTTACACCTAAGCTTAGTTATGAATGATGTATTTTTCCAATTTTTCTCCTCTGAAAGACTCCTTAGGAAAAGCCACATAAAAAAAAGCATGGATTAGTTTGTATTAACTATGATGTGTTCTCACTGCACTGCAAGAGATTTAAAAAAAAATCTAGAAATTCAGAGAGCTGAATTGTTTCATTCTTAATATCTGGTTTCATGTCGTTCAGTGCAGACAAACAAAAGTTTCTTGAGTGATCAATACCTGCTGTTAAAAATCTGAGAGTTACAAGCACAGGATCTTATGATTCAAACTGTATTTGGGTGTAAAAAAGGTATCAGTCTGTAAGAAGAATTTTGAAAAATATGTATTGTTACATTACAAGTTTCTATGTAGATATCAAATGATATGAAAACACCACCTTCAATTTACAGGTGAATAGTCAAAAGCAGTTAATTAATTTGGTTCTTAAGACTTTGATAGAGCTGCTCCAATACTCCCTGTCTGAGAATCCTCTGAGTTTCCTCCAGCCAGACCCAATGACACAGGATAATAAATTAGTGTTGCTAAGGAGTAAACTGACATAATGCAGAAGGATATGTCTGGGTTTTCAACAGGACCAAAGCCACTCTTCAAAATCAAAATTGAATTACCAGATCAAGTAAGGCCAACTTAGCCTGACTATTTAATCACAATGGAAAAAGAGTTTGATTTTCCTTTTAAAGAAACTTCAGGAGAGTTGGAAATGTTGCAGAATTGTCACCTTCCCACTTGCAAACTACAGGAGTTACAGTTTATTGGTAGTTAAAAATAGAGGCAAACACAGGAAGGCAATGAATTTTCACCCAGGATTAATATGATTTAGAACATCAACAGAAAGGTATCCTCAGAAAAGGTGTTCTCTCCCGCCTGACAAAAAGTAATTAGGAAAGGAATAAATACCCTGCAAAATAAAAAAATTGAATTATTATTTTTGAATTGAATTATTTATATAAAATATACACAAACAGGCAAGGAGAAAAATTATGCTGGAAAATGCATTCTGCCAATTTTTAATTTTCCTTTTAATTCTCTATGAATTTTACTTTGGAGCAATCATAGGATCATAGAATCATTTAGGATGGAAAAGACCTTTAGGATTGAGTCCAACCTTAAACTCAACAGTGATGAGTTCACCGCTATACCCTTTCTTTACTGTAAATGAAATGATATTTACAGGAAGAAAAGTACATGGAAAATTGAAAAAATATGTAAACTAGGAATAGAAAGGTAACAGAAATCTCTACATTTATGCAGAAAAAAAGTACTACAAGGAAATTGGCAAGATCTCAAATTTATGCAAATGAAAAAGGAAGTAACATGGTAGTTGAGGAATAGCAAAGAATATGAAACTGGAGATGAGGAAGAAAGGGAATAACAATGAAGATGAGAACGTTAAGTGAATTTTTCACACAAGACCAAAGTTACACTCTGTAGACTATTAAAGTAAATCACAGAATTACAGGGCAACAATCCATAATTCACATTTCTGAAATTCTGACAGATACCATAATGACAGCGACTGCCACCGCTGAGAAGAATGTAGACATCTCGAGAAGCACAAACAACAGAACTGACCCAGCTCTAAACAGCTCAAATATCTCTGTGACAGAGCCCAGCACCCAAACCCTCCTGGGCAAAACCTCACTGTCCCCCTCCGTGATGATGATGGTGGGTGGAGGTATGGATGAAGGGAAGATGGACACTACACCCACAACATCAGTGTGGCACGGGAGCTCACTGGGGATGTCTCCTGGGAGTGGTGCAGTGATGTCAGCATTCCCAACAGGGAATGGCACCACCACTGTCCCCAGCACGGGCACAGAGAGTGGCTCTGCTTCCTCCCCACATCTCAGCTCAGGCACAAGGAGCCACTCTTCCTCCTCCTCCTCTCCTGAGGGCTCCCCAGCTGTGACTCCCAGCCCACAGCAAAGCAGCACCACTGGGATGCCCTTGGCCACCACATCCCGCCCACCCACAGCACTCACGTTCTCTTCTCTGTCCTCCACTGCTGGCATTACGAGTGCTCAGTTCTCTGCTGGGACAGCAGAGGCCAAGTCACAGGGCCCAACTGCCCCCAGACCTCCCACCTCCAGCACCTCTCCTGCCTCAGGCACCACTGCATCCAGCCCTTCATCCACACCAGGCAGCAGCACGGGGACACCAGTGCCTCGACACACCTCCACACACCTCACCCAGGGACAGCCCGCAGAGGAGGTGTCAGCTACTTCATCTCCCATGAGGACCTCCTCGTCTTCCACAGCCACAGCCTCTGTCAGGAGCCCCTTGCCTTCCACAGACATGGCCTCTGTGGGCAGCTCCTCGCCTTCCACAGCCACAGCCTCTGTGGGGAGCCCCTCACCTTCCACGGCCATGGCCTCTGTGGGGAGCCCCTCACCTTCCACGGCCACAGCCTCTGTGGACAGCTCTTCACCTTCCACAGCCACGGCCTCTGTGGACAGCTCTTCACCTTCCATGGCCACAGCCTCTGTGGACAGCTCTTCACCTTCCATGGCCACAGCTTCTGTGGACAGCTCTTCACCTTCCACAGCCACGGCCTCTGTGGACAGCTCTTCACCTTCCACAGCCACAGCCTCTGTGGGGAGCCCCTCACCTTCCACAGCCACAGCTTCTGTGGACAGCTCTTCACCTTCCAAAGCCATGGCCTCTGTGGGAAGCCCCTCACCTTCCATGGCCACAGCCTCTGTGGACAGCTCTTCACCTTCCACAGCCACAGCCTCTGTGGGGAGCCCCTCACCTTCCACAGCCACAGCCTCTGTGGACAGCTCTTCACCTTCCACAGCCACAGCTTCTGTGGACAGCTCTTCACCTTCCATAGCCACGGCCTATGTGGACAGCTCTTCACCTTCCATGGCCACAGCTTCTGTGGACAGCTCTTCACCTTCCATGGCCACAGCCTCTGTGGACAGCTCTTCACCTTCCATGGCCACAGCCTCTGTGGACAGCTCCTCTCCTTCCACAGCCACAGCCTCTGTGGGCAGCTCCTCTCCTTCCACAGCCACAGCTTCTGTGGGGAGCAGAGCCACGACTCCTCCCGGAGGAATGGAAAGTTCCACCATGGACCAGGGGATCAGAACATCTGAGCCCACTGCCAACACCTCCCATTCCCTCCCTTCCACATCCTTGGCAACCCCATCCACGACAAACCTTAGTATAACAACATCTGTTAATCCTCCTTTTACTGGAACTTGCTGTGAGTATTTTAACACATGATACTAAATTTATTTTGATCTATTTTTGGAAGAGTCGAGTATAATTTTCTTTCATTATTGTTATTTTTGGTTGGCATTGGAGCTTTTTTACAAGGTCTTTTTTAAGTTGGGAATTTAATCCAGGAATATGAATCCCTGCATCTATTTATTTTCTGAAAAGCTGCAGTTCCAGTCTGGAGTTGTTTTTGAAATTACACACTGTGTCTTAGGCAGTGCCACAGAGGTAAAATGCTGTGTAGTTATGCTGCATAGGCCAAGTTATGTCAATGGAAAGTTTTATTGATTTTTATTGGGTTTTATTGGTTTTGTTGATTTTGGTCTTGAAATTTCCTTTTATGAAATACTGAGGCAGTTCCTTCATTGGGAGAATCCAGTTGATTTATTTTTTTTTTTGCTAACTCATTTCTTATTTGTTTTAATAATTCTTTTCTACTGTATCTTAAATTTTTTGCCAAAGTGCTATCTGCCCATATTCAACAAATATGCAGTAATGAGCCATCATTTTTCAATGGATAAAAAAGTAAAGCAAAGATGGAAAAGAGGAGAATGCAGCCTTTTTGAACTCTGCACCCAAAAAACAAAGGCAGCATGACTTCCATTTTTAGCGCATAATAATATTCTTCAAGATCTATTAGTCCAAGGGGTTAATCCTTCCCTGATCTGGAGTCATAGTGTCCGTGGAATGCAGTAGGAGATGTGCACACACACACAAAAAGGAACAACCTGCTCCTTGACAGTGGCTCAATGGCCAAGGACAGCCCAGTGACCAGTGGTTCCTCAGGGGTCACTCCTGGGCCTGGTGCTGTTTAATGTCCTTGTGGGTGACACTGACAGCAGGGTTGAGGGCACCCTCAGCAGCTTTGCTGATAACATCACACTGTGTGGTGCAGTTGACACTGTGGAGGGAAGGGATGGCATCCAGAGGGACCTGGACAGGCTTTAGAGTGGGCCCCCTTGAATCTCATGGAGTCCAGTGAGGCCAAGTGCAAGGTCCTGTACATGTACTGGGGCAGTGCCAAGCACAAACACAGGCTGGGCATGAATGGACTGAGAGCAGCTCTGAGGAGAAAGACTTGGGGGTGTTGGTGGATGAAAATCTTGGCATGACTCCGCCATGTGCCTCCACATCCCAAAAGCCCAAAGGCATCCTTTGGCTGCATGCAAAGCACCGTGGGCAGCAGGAGAGGGGGGGATTCTGCCCCTCTGCCCTGCCCAGGTGAGACTCCACCTGCAGAGCTGCCTCCAGCCCTGGGGTTCTCAACATGAGAGAAACGTGGAGCTGCTGGAGAAGGTCCAGCAGAGGTCACAAAGATGCTCAGAGGGGTGGGACACCTCTGCAGTGGAGACAGGCTAAAAGAGTTGGTGTTGTTCAGCCTGGAGAAGGCTCTGGGGAGACCTCAGAACCTCTTCCAGTAGAGAGGGGACCTACAAGAGGGACTTTGTGCAGGGGTGCATAGTGACAGGACAAACAGCTTTTAACTGAAATAGGGTAGGGCTAGAGTAAATCATAGGAAGAAATTCTCCCCTGTGAGGGTGGTGAGGGCCTGGGACAGGTTTTCCAGAGAAGCTGTGGATGCCCCAACCCTGGAAGTGTCCAAGGCCAGGCTGGACAGGGCTTGGAGCAACCTGAGATAGTGGAATTTGTCCCTGCCCATGGCACATGGTTAGAACCAGACAATTTTTAAGGTCCCTTCCAATCCATTCTGTTGATCTTCAAAAGGCTTTTACAGAAGGTATGAATTTGTTCATCACTGTGAGTTTAAGCAGTAGTGTGTATTTTTCACTAATGGCAACAGTGAAATGAACTGCTCTCATCTGTATGAAACTTTCACACTTTACAGCAACAGTGTCCATCGAAGTTCAGAGCGTGACTGGAGAAGAAATACAGCTCAGCTGGACCAGTAGCAGCAAAGGCAGCTTCTACAACATCTCTGTCATGGGTGGAGAGGAGATAAATACAACAACTACAAAAGACACAAAAGCTGTGTTTAAAAACCTGCTTCCTGGCCATGTGTACAACATTTCTGTGGCAGTGTCATCTTGTGCTAATAATCGTTCTTCAGTCACTGTCCGAACAGGTACCTCCTCCATCACCCTGGCATTTCTTTTTAATTAATATAAACTCACAGTATCTTGTTGTGATATGATCTGGATTTGATCTCACAGACTCTTATTCCTAAAAGTAATTTTTATTTATTTGACTCATCCCCTTATTTGGATAGGACTGCTTGAATGAAACAGGAGTTTGCAAGAGTAAGAGCTCTGTAAAATTTCTGATCATGCTCTATTATTGAGCCAGGTAATTCTGTACAAGTCAGGATATTTTGGTTGTAGATTTACCAGAAAATATTCCTGTACTGTGGAGTTTAGGTTCTACATGCTCTTGTGAATGCAGGCAGTCCTTAATTGTCATGTTACCCTTTTAATTTCATCCTAGGTTATAGACATTAAGGCAAACATTTTAATTGTGTCTCTGTACTGAAACTGATTTTGAAGGAACATGACACACAGTATCCCTCTAAATCTAAATCTCCTTTTAAAACTCCCCATTGCCATCTCCCCCTTAGCCAATTCCTTTAGACAAAACTTATTCCACTTAAAAAATTACCACTTGGCACTGTATACTTTTGCTTTTCCATCACTGGAAGAAATCTAAAAGTCAGCCTGTCAAAGGAAGCCACTGGGTTATTTTGGCATGATCCACGTTTGATAAAACTGTGCTGCACTTTATCATTCTTTCCCAGTGGCTGAGAAAGTGCTCACAATTTCTTTTTATATAACTTGAAAGATCTAACTTGGCTTTGGCAATTGTTACTTTCTTCCAGCATTTCTCTAAAACATAAATGTCCTTGTTTCAGTCCTTTTTTGAGTTCTCCAGTGGATTGTCTGATTATTCTCAGAACCCTTCTAGGGCAATTATTTTGGCAGTTGAATGTGGGGGTTCCTTCTGATGGACTTACCTTCTCTCTTAGTCTTTAGGACCACAAAGACAAGAAATTCTCATCATTATTTCTATTGAAATCTTTCAATTCTTCAGTCCACTGGCTTTCATTTATTAGTTTCTCTATTCAAGAAAAATAAAAAATTGTTTTCTTTTGTAATCTGGAGCCATCTGCCCTACCAGAAAATTATTTGTAAGCTAATTAAAAAGAGCAATAAAGACCAAGTCATCCATATGTCATGTGAAATTAAAGATTATGTTCAATTCTGTGAGAACTGGAGATCTAATCCAACGAGCTAACCGCATAAAATCTGCTATGCCAGCCTTTAATGGGTTTTGACCCTTCATAAATAGTTCAGATTAGCAAATCCAGACAAGCATACTGAGGTTTTGAGACCCCATGATGCATATTTTTTCCAAAAGAAATTGCAGGTGACTTTTACTTCTGAAAACTCCGTCTAGCTTACCTGAGTTGTACAAGCACATAATAGCACAACCTATATCTTTAGCTCTCATAAGAAATCAGAGTTCTCAGTGCTATTTCAGTGAGCTCTCAAATACCACCTACCCACCCACCACCTGCCTCTCTTTTGATATGCTCCAATTTTATAATTGGCGATTCTCAGTTCTCACTGGGCCAAAGGAACTGCTGCTTAGGTGACTCCTTGGCCATAATTAAAGACTTTCACCTATTCCATAATTTTCTTATTAGCATTAATAATGCATGCACAGAAGTGATTATCTTGATTATTTTTTTCATTTATTTTGCAGATCCTACTTCCTGTTTTGAAATAACTGAGTTTTGTTCAGCACAAAGTACTGGCTGTTCTGACTTAAAAGGCATTGCATGCTCCAGTAAGTTTATAGAACCTTAACATTTGTTTATCCATAACTATGGGGTATTATTTCACAATATAGTATCTCCCATGAGTATTTTGCCATCTGCTTTATTATGTCAGTTCACACACCATCTGAAGTTCACACTTTGGTGCAGAAGCTGCCTCCATCAAACTTCAGTGTCAGCTTCCAGCTCTATTTTAGTCTGGACTTTTCTATGTAAAGCTTTCTTCTTTTGGCTCAGGGCTCATCCACCTACTCAGGAGGATTTAAACTCACTCAGAGCCTTGCAGAGTCTAACAGACTGGTGTTGCTTCTGCTGGAATCAATGGGAGAGTGGCTGTTGAATTAGGGAGTGGGATGCACCCTAAATAATATAGAAATGGTGAACAAATTGTGAGGATTGTGATGGCTGACAAACCAGGAGAGATTCAGCTCTGAAGGTTCCAAAGCCGCTGCATTAGACGCACATGATACACTTTGTTATTATTATTTGATTAGTTTCTGGTTTTACTGCTTCATATTATAAACACATGAGATAATAAAGTCTAAAGACCAATTCTGGAGGTAATCCTGAGATTTACCCAATTGTTTCTTCATTTTTTTTTTTTTCTTTTCTTTTTTCCAGGCCAAGCATTTGCCTGCAGCGTTCGGTTAAAAAACGAGATATTTAATAATACACTTTATAACTCTGCTAGTGAAGACTACAAAACAATGTCTGAAAGGATCAAAACAGACGTGAGTTGATGCAATCCTCTTTGTCAACATGAATGAGCTGCAGAAAGGCTTGTGATTAGCAACTTTAGTCTCCTACTTTCATTGTTAAATCAAGACTCTGACAGGTGAAAAAGAGAAAACAGTATAGGAAGCACAAATCCTTCAAGGACAGACAGCTTGTTGTCCAATGAGGAGGGCTTTATTTCCTAAGCCATCCTCAAATATAAGTTATTTAGTGAAAGGCACTTTAAGACTCTATTTTTGGAAGGAACATCCCGTTCTGTTTATTTTCTCCCACTTCATTAAACTGATGCCTGTGGAGGCAAAAAAAAAGGATGTTATTCAAAAACAGCATTTCAGCACAGAGTTGGATACATGAAAACTTTGCAAGTGAGTGCTGTGAGTCCAGATCATTGGTGATGCACTTCATCAGGATTATCATCCTGATATTCTGGATGCAGGATTGGACAAAGTATCAAGGGGTCCATTTCAAGGGGGAAAACGAGGAGAGGGCGTGGAAGCTTCGAGCTAGTCACGCTGACAGGCAGAAGCATCAGTCTGCCACTCAACTGTCTTTAGCAGCATGTTAAAAAAAACCTAATCATTTCAACACCTCTCAGGAATCCTGATGTATATAAGCCTGCTGGAAAGGTAAATCTACTGTGAGATTGGGGTAGACTGCTTTAAATAACTAACACAGCTATTTAAAGTGTGATGATCATACCCTTTAGCTAAGAAACTCCACAGATTTCAAAAGCAGTAATTAATTTGTTCTCACCACGCCAACTCGGAGGTAACCTTGTCTTATGACTGCTAACATCTCCACTTCATGGATAGAAAATTTATTTTAGTGGATGTAAAAGGTTTCCTCCAACCTGACTGAAAGCAACAGGAATCCCTTTACTGGCTTTTAATAAGCTTTTACCTCATGGAAAGTGTCAGCTTTTCTTCAAAAAATGGAAAAATCAAAGAGAGGCTGAACTAACATGATTGAAAATACAGACAATTTCTGTATTGGATTTTTTTTTGTCCAATTTAAATGTTGAACTATTTCTTTTATATTCCACAGTACTACCACTCTGTAGTTGTAGCTTTGAAATTTTACAATTTTGCCTGCATAAGTCAGGGTCCTCACCTAGACTGCTCATCAAAGTGAGGTAAATAATAGCATTTTTGGAGCCTCTGGTCAAGGAACTTGAAGGGTTGTAAAGTTTGGGGTGGGGGTTTATCCCACAGAGAAGATGGAGGCAGAAAACTGAGCAGTGACTCAGAACAAGGTTTGTTATCATCTATGAAAAATAGTAATCTTTCAGAATTTTCAGATAAAAAAACTGAGCAGTGACTCAGAACAAGGTTTGTTATCATCTATGAAAAATAGTAATCTTTCAGAATTTTCAGATAAAATACACTATTTATCCACAGTGAGAGGATAACTTCTCCTAGTGAGTTGAATCAAACACCTAATTTTCCGAAAAGATCGGTCCTGACAAAAACATTTCAATCAGTCTTGCTTAAAAAAGGGAGCTGTTTGTTCTTGCTTGATATCCATATGAAAGCACTAAGCAAGACTCTACCTTTGGAGATATCAGTGCAGTTGATTTGATTTTGATTGGTGCCATAGGAATACACTCGGTTTATGCCAGAATGATTGAGCGGCAAATCACACCTTTGTCTCTCTTTGCAAAGGTATTCTGTAAGGTCATGGCTTTGAAGATCTGGTGACAAAATTAAGTTTTAAACCTCTCACATCAAATTCTGTGCTGGTAGTGCAGGACCGTGCTTGAAGTTTAGTTGCACATTTAAAAAAAGTTAGGGGACACTGAACATAACTTTAGAAATATTGGGTGCTCTTTGCAGATTCCAAATATTGTACAGTCAGGGTCCCATATGGGTTTGTGGAGGAGGACAACTTGTTTTAATGCATTATTCATCGATAACTAGCTAAACAGATTGGAGCTCTGGAAGTCAAATACAGATTTCAACTTTTCAATCACAGACGACACGTCACTCCAGAATCCTCTTTCAATAAGATTTTTGTTATCCCAAAGCAATTACCTTGAAAGAGTAGTAAGCAAAGATTAAGTGATTTAAAAATAAATATAATTTTCACCTTGCACAGGTTGTTGAAGGAATGCATGCTGAGCTGCCACAGTGGAATGACCCCTTCAATATTGTCATGCTGGATTTCAGACCTGGCAGTGTTGTTGCTGATTTTTTCTTTCTGCTGCCAAAAGAAGTCACGGATGTGGAGAATATACAGACCCACCTGAAAAAAGTATTAAGGAACAAGTTTGGGCTGTTCCAAGCTGAAGTGCAAGGTAAGTGATGCTGAAACAGCTTCTTTGTAATGGTGTGGGGATTAAAGGGTCAGATCTACTGCTGTTTAATTAAGATGATAAATTAACTTCTCTCTATTAAGAGATTCAAATAGTTCAAATAGTTTAAATAACCTATTTAAACATTCGCCAGACATGTAGTGATTTAATACAGATTATGAAATAATAAGCTTTAATATAGTGTATTAAAATAAACTATTTTAAAGGGTAATTACACATACCCAGTTCCAGACTCAAAGGATGGGTTCTCTTCCCACAAAAGGATCTAAAAACTCTCAATTTACACCATTCCATCCATCAAATCCTCAGAGCAGTTGTTATGGATGTCACCAAGAGATCACAAGGACCCTCAGAAAAGATTTCTAGTTAACAAATCTTCACCACATACAAAAACATTTTCCATATTATTCAAAAGTTTCAAAGCTGCCAAGCAGTAAAACACAGCTGTCACTTAGGGCTCCAGGATTTCTTACACCCACTTTTTTACTGTTTCTAGCTAACATTTCTAAAATGTGTTTTAAATTTCCAGCTCTGTCTGTTCAGTCAGCAACTGACAACAGTTCTTCCTGGAGAGTAGCAGTGATTGTCCTTGGAGTTTTACTTGGAGTTGCATTAGTGCTGATTCTCCTGGCAATACTGTTTTACATCTATGTGAGGAGAAGATCAGGTAAATACTTGGTTGAACCTTCAGGACTCATCGGAATGTTTGTCTACAAGCACTTATAAGATAAACCATCACTTAAATATTATAGGCAAGGCAGAAAATTAATATATTTATCTTATCATTCAGTGTTAATAGTGCATATTAACTTAGGATAATTCCACCCTTTCCTTCCCAATGTCCATTGCCAAATTCATGAGCTTCTAACAACATTCAATGAATCTTCCTTTAAACAGGTATGGAATTCCCTACATTGTACACGTGGTAGAGTGAGGAACAGAGAAACTTCTCTTCAGCCTATCCCCTATAGGTACTTCAATGACTCCTAGCACTGACAAGCTAGAGAGACAGGATCCAAACTACTCAATACTGTATTTAGGTGACACTGAAAACAGGGTGACTGAGCCTGGTAGCTGTGGCAGATCACTTGAATGCTCAGCTGAGCCCAGAGTCACCCTGTTGGGTTTTGTGCACTTGGCCAAGGGTGATTCACCCCCCCCTGAGACTTTTATCACGATATAAAAACTTTTATCACAATATAAAGATGCCTTTTTCTCTCCTGTGACTGAAGAATGAGCCCAGGGTAATTAGCGTCCTAGCATATGCAACTTGATTAGGAGTTTGGAGAAAAATGGCATACACCTCAGTTATCTGGGCTTGCTATAGAAGTCTGGTGGACCAGAAACTTGATTTGGACACTTCTGAATTCAAAGTTTCTTCAATTGCTGGGCTGTGAAGGAATAATTCTCATATGTGTGAAATGTATAGCATGCTAAATACAGGTGTGGTTCCACAGCATAGTCTCAATGTGTTAGTAGATGGGGAAGGCAAACATTAGGTTAATTTGAGCTAAAAGTATTTTACTCACCTCTTTTTGCCTGTCAAAAATGGTTGGCTGAGCAAGGATGTGCCATATAGTGCCATATTGTCCTGCTCTTGATAATCCTAGAGTCCAATAGAAGAAACTCCTGTGGCATTGAAGCAAGCCTTGCTTTAGATTTCTTCTAATTGCTTTAGAGCAATTACAAGAAATGATCTTTACCTTTTCCCACCACTCTTCACTGCAGTCCTGGAGAAGTTACAGTCTGTTTCTACTGTGGTGCAGTTTTTCCTGCTTGGACTGTGCTGAACAGATGATAAAGGGGCAGTTTACTGCTGTTCATATTTCCAGCAGGATTTATGTGTTTCATTTCAAACCAGCTCTCCCTGTATCTGTACATTTTGTCAGTCTGCCTACACTCGGAATTCCTGTTGAGGCACTGAGTATCCTGTGATGTTGAGGCCCTGGCTCACACCCCCTGAACACCCCTGTTTTTTGGGGATTAGGTTATGGTTATTTGGCACAGGTTAGAGTGAATTGGTGTCAGGACTGCAGCACAAGGTGGGAACTCATCAGAGTGGGGATGCACAAACAGCTCTGCTCTGCTCCATATGCAGCCAGCATTCATTCTTTCATCCCTCCATCCTTGTGCTCCAACACAGCTCCTGGCAGAGCCCTGCCGAGGACCCTGGCTGGAATATTATTTTTAGTAGCAGGGACCTATGAAACAGGGTCTTGCATGCTCTCCCTTTCACATGGAGGTCTTGCACACCCTCCATGCAGTGTCAATTTGTCTTATTCTGTCAGTAAATACAAGTTCTCTAGGGAGCTCTGTTGAAATTACAAATGAGTGCTCTTGCTTATGTTAATACTCTTTTATTTCTTTTTTTGAGGGATCTACTTTAAATAGCAAATCCTCATTGTCAGTAAACCTTTCTGATGTTCTTGTAAATATTGTTAAATAGAGACCATGTACAGCAGGCTTCAACCGTCCTGGGATTGTTCATACAAAATGTATTTAATGTCTTTGGGGGAAAAAAAAGTGGTATTTTAAACAATTTTCTCAAAGATGCTTTACAAATAAAACCTTTATTTTTACAATTGTGAATTCTGAAGGAATCTGCTGTTCTGGTTTTGTCACATAATTTGGAGTCTCTTTTACCTACAAGGGGGGAGGGTGGCCAGTGCAGTCAACAACAGAGCTAACCTTGTGTGATTACACAGAAGGATGATCAATTTGAGCTAAATCAAACAAGAGAGAAGATCTACTGAATCTATCCTTTTTTAACTTCTACTTCAGTAAAAGTCCCCCTACCACCAGAGTGTGGAGTCTAGACTCTGAGAACTCTCTGAAATTGAGAGCAGGAGAGGCCAGACCTCCCCTTTCCACAGGGGAACACTTCCTCCCTCCCAAACAGCATTCAGATGGGCTCCTCATGCACATTCCCTTCTCAGAGAGAGGCAGCAAGTGGGACAGAGAAATAAATGGCTGAGGATAAGACACTCAAAACGTCGAGGCAACAGGCTCCTGTCGATATCAGTGTCTATTAAGCTGTTCCTCCATTTTTGTGTCAGGATGTCTGTGACTGACAAAGGGCATTTTGCCTGCTTCAGACTTGCTTTTCGCCCTCCTGGAACAGACTGACACTATGTTCCAGAAAAACCTGAGCAACCTACCAATCCCTTCATGCATGCTGTGATCAAGGCCTTAGGGAATACTGTGTTCTGTTCCTATTGGAACTGATGAGATGAGACTCAAACCTTCAGCTGACTTTTTCCAGCAATTTCACTTTTCCACAATTTAGTATTCCTGCTGCTGTCAATAACCAAAAGCTTTTGCTTCACCAGTGTGAGAAAATCACAGTGCTCAGGAACCAGGTCCATACCCAGTTGTTGCACTGCATTCCCAGGGCACAGGCAGTTTGGGCCTGGATAAAGCCAAGCCTTGGAAGAGCAGGTTGTTCACTTGCCATCTTCTATCTAATGGAGATTATTTAGGCTGTGCTAGGAATTCCCCTTAGTGCCTTTGTCATTGTAGATTCATGATGGAACGACACCTTGAAAGGAAGGAGAAAGCAAGAGGACAAGCTCTCAGACTTGGAACACTGGAAATGCCACATCTGCCCTGCTGTCCCCCAGCCTGTGACAAGCCAGAGGAACAGAAGGAATTGGGGATTAGCACAGGGAAACCACAGGTCCAGAAGTTCCCTCTGCAGGGAGCTGGATCTGTGCTGGAAGAAAGACTGGAGTGAGACACTAAAGTGTCTGAAGACACTCAAGTTACACAAATCAGCAAAAAGAGGGGTCAAAGTCACAACTAGCATAGCAATGTGCCTTCCCCAAACTTAGCTGCTTGCTTTCCTCCTCTCAAACAGCAAGAAAGTGCTGTAGGACTCCAGGACATCCCAAGCACATGTTGACCTATAGCCAAAGGGGTGCATTTGTGCCCTCAGCACAGCCTGGAAGAAGGAACTGGGGGATTTGGATCTGGCAGCTGGTGCCAGGAAACAAGCACAACCTGCTGGGACATCAGCCAGCCCCCTCCTCAGACCCACATTCCCTGCACAGGATACTGCAGGGCTCTACCACTGGCTGTGGCTGGTCCTCATTATTGACTTTGGAATAAAAAAGCTGCTGACATCAGCTTCCAAGTGTACCAGTGGGGAAAAATAATCCAGGAATAGAAATATCACTGTTGGTAATCCAAGCAGACCTGTGTCATTTTAGTCACTTTTATGGGAGCTGGGCTGTCTAAGGACATTGCATTCTGGAGCCCTAAATCAATAACATCCCTGTTTAGCAACTATTAAATGGATCAAGCCGGTGTATCTGCCTGCTGGAAACCCAGTTTTCCCTTTATGAGCAGATCCAGACTGTGCTGCTGCTGAAAAGGAGTTGGATTTAAACCTTTTTTTTTTGGTGTATAAACACACCCATCTGCCAATTGTTTCCAGTGTTAACTGGTTCTTTTAAACACTCAGTTTCTGAACAGTCAAAAAATTTAAGGCTGTGCTCAACTTCTGGTTAGAAAGCTTGCAGTGGAAAACTGGGATTTGTCCAGCTCACATCCACTTTGCTGTCCCATGGTCCCACTTAAAAGTTTGTCCTGAGAAACTGAAGCTCTCCTGAACTGTAGATCAAATCTGTCTCCATTCCTTTTGCTGTGGGGGACATCTGATCTTTAGCTTGTGAAATTGGGCTAGAAACTGTGGCAGCAATTGATGTTTTCATTCAGGGATGTATAAGCTGGTGTTGTATGTGCCCTGTTCTAGTCTCACCACGATCTTGTGCTGCAGAAACACAACACAGGCTAGACAGGATTAGAAACGACTCAAAATGATTTTAGGATGGCTTGGTCCTGTCAGGTGTTTGAGGCATTTCCCACACCAACACTTGACTCACAGGAGACACATCCAGCTTTGTGTCCTGCACTCCTGTGCTCTCCCAGCTTGGCTGAGCTGCTGCAGTGAGTCAGTGGGACCCCACAGTAGAAAATATTTAATGGATTAATTAGAAAATATAGAAATATGTGTGAGTGGGTTGACCTCAAAGCTATTTCACTGCCAATTATTCTTTCTTCTCAACTTCCAGCTTCGTAAAGAAACATATTTTAATTTTATTTTTTTTTTTAAATATGAGTCTGAACGAATATAACACGACATCTGACCCTCCACAAGTCTTGATTAGACATGGGAAACTCTCCCTCCATGAAGGTGTGGGATCAGAAAGTGCTGCACTGTGCAGCAGGAGCCACCAGATAGCGCTCCCTGTACCGGCACCAGCTGCTCCAAGACCTGTTTGCACCAAAAATCTTCAGTAATTCACCAATTTTTGGCTCAGCACGGGGCAGCCTGGAAACTCACTTCCTTCCAATGGCCTTTGCAATGCTTAAATGCACTTCAGTTCTCTCTCCAAGCCGTGCCTCCTTCCCCAGCACATGAGATGGCCTGAGAGTTGGGAAATTACTAAGTTTTATTGCTCTGGAGAGGTGACACAGAGCGAGGAGAGGCTGGACACACGAGGGGAGCTGGACATCCTGCAGGTCACCCTGCAGCTCTCTGGTTACACATGCACTTAAGCTCCTGGGGGAATTACAGCCAAAAAAAGAAGGGATAAAGGTGTCTGTGGGAATCTCAGCGTGATCCTACCTGTCTCTCTGAGCACCTAAATACCAGCTTAAAGCACAGCCCTGAACCCTCAGAAAATACTCAGAGAAAAAGGGAGTTTTTGCTCTACAAACTCCTCTTCCTCTTGTTTTTTGTTTTTTTTTTTTAATATTCTGGATTAGTGCAAGAAGTGAGGGTATCACAATTCAAGGAGTCAAGGAGGCAGGAGCAGTCACCTGCCTCCCCCTGAGGCACTGATGTGTTTGTTGGACATTACCAAAGTCACTTCATTGTCACTCTGGTCAGATATTGACAGCAGCTCCTAAATTTTTATTTGTCTCATTGCTGCAATAACTATTCAACTCATTAAAAGGTTAATTGTCTGTGAAATAAATTTGAAATCTTTATTTTATTTCTCATAATCAGAAAGCTTAAGCAGCCTATGAGCTCTTATTTTTTTTCATTGTTCCTTGTGGAGATTTTCACACTAGATTCAGGGAATCAGCAATTTAAGTAAACTAATATTTAAAAAAGATATATAATTTCATGAGCACGGCCAAATTATCTGTGAAATAAACGCCCCATGAATCAAAAATGTAATTAAATATTAGCTTTTGGCTAATTAAAAAATGAGATATTCCAACTGTCACTTTTTTTCACTGTCAGTAAGGTCATTTCCTGTGTCTAATCATTCCCCTTGTCTAAGGACAGGGATGGCTGCAGAGAGAGCTATCCATGAGCTTCCTCTTGAGTATCACATACAAGAGCCTGAATATTGTGCCATTAGTTATTAAACCCTAACTCGTGTTTAAGGAAAAGATCTTTTTATTTCTTCCCTTCTGATGGGCAATGCCTTAAACCTGTGCCTGGTACTCAGGAATGAGAAGGAGGAAGGAGGGAATGAGAACATGGATTGGCAATAGATGGCAACAAGAGGCCATCAGGAGGGTCCCTGCAGTGATGCTCAGCTTGCAGGGCACGTGATGTGCCATAACCCTACAGCCACGGGCTCCTGAGCAGCCCTAAAGTGACAAAGGGATGAGCAGAACAATCTCTGGCCTCTCCTTTCTGTCTTTCCAGAAGAAATGGACTCGGGAAGAGCAGCTCATCCTTGGCCTGGGGGCAGCCACCCAGCAGGGCTGCCCAGGAGGAAGGAGGAATCCTGGCAGGAATCACAGCTCGCTCCCTCCCAGGGATGCAGCTGTGCTCGCTGTGTGATGCTGTGACAGGGATGAGGCATCTGTCTCGCCTCGGGCTGGCCTCTGCTGTCAACAGAGAAAAATGAGCACCTCCAGGACATGATTCATGTGCCCTGTGTTGTGTGTCTGCTTCAGATGAGATGAAACCTCCCAGAAATGGCTGTTTCTCTCCCCTGTGTCTGAAGGGAGCACACAGCAACACAAACTCCTTGACGCCTCCATTATAACACAGCTGCAGCGGCTCAGGAAAAGATTCCGTTCCCAGCTTCCACGACTTGGAAGAAGGTACCAGCTTTGTCTGTCATGCCAACACCTGGTGAGGTGGGTCAGCAGATCTGTGGTGTCACAGGCCCAGACAGAACATTATTTTGGGTCATGAAGAAAGAGCAGGAGTTTTTGCAAGCATGGGGAGTTCAGCAGCAGCAGGGATCTGTGGCTCTGCAGGCACACAGCTGGCACTAGAATTTTTCTCTCTTTTCCAGGACTTTTCCAA